ACTTTATCTAGCGCGTCGCGTTTTCCCGGAAAATTCAATTCTAGTGTTCAGTTGACCAAATGGGGATTTAACAAAGTGCACTCATAAAAGTTTTAAGACTGATTATATAAGAGTGATTGAATGAGTTCGCAAAGAAAGCATGAATTTTTTAGTGAAATATGTATACTATGCTTTCATAATATAATATAGGGTTTGTTTGTTTTTAATCAAGCACAAAGCTACACAATAAGTTATCTGTATTATTCCCACCAAGAGAATTTAAATCCGAATTTTAAAGTTATAAGCCATCAGACTTGCTGCTGAGCCACGGTGTGTGTATGGATCTATAATATGGAGAAGTTCCTTGCGTAACTAGCGTTTCATTTCGAAGTAGCTAGCTAAAGTTGAAAAACCTTGGTTGCAATAATAACATTTAGTTGTTAGTGGAGCCAAAAAAGTGAGAATGTTTAAGTGGTAAGGGTGATCCCAACTCAAAAATATGATTATTTTCGCCGAATTAATTTTAAGATAAACCAGAAAAAAAATTAGACGATGTGGTAAGTTGATACCCCTAAAAATTATACGATGTGGTAAGTTGATACCCCTAAAAATTATAAGATGTCGTAAATTGATACCCCCTAAAAATTATACGATGTGGTAAGTGGATACCCCTAAAAATTATAAGATGTCTTAAATGGATACCCCCTAAAAATTATACGATGTGGTAAGTTGATACCCCTAAAAATTATACGATGTGGTAAGTTGATACCCCTAAAAATTATAAGATGTCGTAAATTGATACCCCCTAAAAATTATACGATGTGGTAAGTTGATACCCCCTAAAAATAAAAAATAGACGATGTGTTAAGTTGATACCCCAAAAAAATAAACGATGTGGTAAGTTGATACCCAAAAAAATTAGACGATGTGGTAAGTTGATTCTTTTTTGTTTGGATATAAAGCTCTCAGTAGGCAATCTGTGAAGTAGTTCATACATTTATGGAAAGTTTGACAGAAATATCTCGACTTTTCTATGTAAATAAAGACATTGAAGAAACTTCCTGACTTTGTAAAATGCGGTCAGCTAAAGTATTAGTAATTACCATTAGTAGTTCTTGTTGTTAACATAATACATACACGGAATAATCATATGTACTGTTAATATTTGTAACACGTTAACTCTTGACCATGGTTTTTATAATGTAGAACAAGTTACGCACGAAAACAGCCAGCAATGGTCAACATTTGTTCTTCTACTTTGTTGTTTCTTTCAGTTCTAACCTAAATATGCGTGTATTTGTTTCATGTTAATGGAATTACCTTCGTTTCTAACCTTACACACATATATGCTTAAAACCTTATCGAAATGATGGAACTGAATGGTACATAAAGTAAATGGTTACACTTTTCGATGAGCTACGTAGTTTTAACTACGGAAGAATAGTCATTAGAACAAGATTTGGGAGTTTTCATATTAGTATAGCTTATTTTTGAGATAAAAAGTTTTTGTTGTTTCAACTCTTTAGTCGTATGTACACGTGCAAACATTTTGTGCTTTACATCGACTGATTTTCTTCACTACTCAGAGTTTGCTAATGCAGTAACCAAACAGTTGATATACGCACAGTCTTCTAGATACATTACTGGTCTTGTTAATCCAGTGGCTAAAAGCAGAAAAAATTAAACCCGGGATGAATACCGGGAGTGACAGAGCGACATATGTAAAGATATCAGCTCCTGTCCAGAGTTGCTTTCTGAATTCGTTTTCACTGGTATTTGATGAAAATGGTAAATGATTTTATGACTTTGATCTGTGAGAATACTGGATAAGATATTGAGTTTAGAACTAATTACAGTGATCATAATTTTAACATATGAATATTGGTATATTAAATTGTAACTAACAACAATGTGAATGTATGTTAGAAAATCTTATTTGTGATGCTTCAGAAGGAATATTTTATAAATTTATAATGTAACTATATTTTACGAATAACTATAGCATCAAATTTATTCATTTCAGACGTCAGGTAATATTTGCCTTCCAGTTAAGTAATCAGATAACTTTTTTTTTCTAATAATTTTTTTTATTGAAATATTTGTTTTCCTTAACTACCCATTCTTTCAGAACTTGCAGGTTGTGCGTCAGTAAAGATGTGAATCGAGTTTTGAACTTACTTGCTGGACTTCGAGTTCTGCCACCACAATGTACATGTAATTGTGTGTAAACGCCACGTTTCCTGCTAGTGGAACGTCATATTAAAAAAGAATACTCCTAATTTCCTCGTTTCCCATCCAATTCCAGAGGGATGTGAGCACAGCTTTGTGAAACCCACCAGCTGCACCTACGACGGTAGACTTGGCAACCTATCGTTTCAACTAGGTCTGTTTTATTCCAATCAATACAAAGTTTACAGCCCCAAGCAATTGGTAGATAATATTACACGTTTCTAAACGTCACTAAGCACGTGTCAGACATTCAACCTGACGTATCGAGTGTACTCACGTGTCAGTCGTCCAATGAAAAGAGGGTTTTCAGAGTTGTGCGTTCATCGCAATGGCTTAGGGTTCACTCTAAGTACACTCACCAAAGAAAAGGACATCGCGGGTTTAATATACAAACCGTTCAACTTATAGAGATGAAACTGATATCAATCAATTAATTCGCTACAAAATCAAAAAATAAAGAAATTATATAATTGATTTGGGCATTATAATGAAAGAAAATTAAATTTTGTTGAAAAAATCAAATAACCAAATATTTACTCCAAAACATTTATTTAAAAAATTCTTATTTTAGAAATCACATCCTACTTAGTAAATATGACTAGTTTGCAAAATTTATGTTCAGATCATAAAATAATAAACTCTCATACTAAAGCACATCACACAGTCATCTCATTTATAAAGTTAGGCTTCAATCGTACCCAGTGTTTTTAATTCCTTTACAATTTTAGTTTATATAGAGCGTTGCAACAATAACTAGACATCTTTCTGATTCGGGTGTATTGATATAGTCACTAAGTTTTTGTGAAACGTTGTTGCCATATTCATATGATAATGGTAATGGACTACTAAATAATACATTTCCCCATTGGTATTTGGATTAGTTTGTATACATCATCTAGACAACGAATTAAGTCTGTAATTCACGAACCGAAATTTTGATGACTGACAATATCGTTCCTAACAGCATAAGTTCCATTGAAGATACGTTTAGAATATTCCCACAAACAGACTGAAGAATGATAACTGAACTACTTTCGTTAACCATGAAAAACAACAACAACATAAAAAAACGTAATAAGCGCATTCGTATTTGTAAGCAACTAAAGTGCGCGATAAATATAAAACACGTTTCATGTGTTTAGGCTTGTGTCGTATTTACTCGAAAGTTACAGTTTAAATTATAGCTTTTAAGAAAATGTGATTCAGCCTGTTTGTTCTTTTTACTTAGAACGTAATATAACTTCAGTTGTAACACATTTACGGTCTTTTAATATCACGAATATATTTCTTTGAATCATATATAACTTTATGGCCTATTTTACCAAGATAGATTCACATAACAAAAATGGTGCAATAAGAATTTGTCTGTTTACAGTATCAGCGTATGTCTATATATTATCAAATATTTTATGAATTTAGATTACGTAATGGGAGACACACATGAATCACGAAAACTGCATTAATAGGGCAGCATGCGTTTTCGTGTATGTGTGATAATTTGACCAATTCTGCAAAGCTTTCAATTATTGTTTCTAGCTTAGTTTAGAAAAACACGTTTTAATAATTTACATTTTCACTAGTAAGAGATCAAGAAATACATTGCTTTGATTATAATTTAGGCTTAGGAATCTAAATTAAACATTTTTATCGTATATAAATATAAAACATAAATTTTTACTATTTGTGGAGTTTCTTTGGCTATCATTGTAACACTTAAAGTTACATTATGAGTACGTAACATCAGTTTCATTTCTATATGTTACACGGTTTTACTTTAATCTCAGGAGTTATGTTTGTCTGTGATTGTACAGTAATACCCATCTTACTGTGATTGTACAGTAATATCCAACTTACTGTGATTATACAGTAATACCCATCTTAGTTTTGTGCTGATACTGGGGAAGTTTAAGATGTTTTCTTCGCGTATTATTTCAGTGTTGAACGTGAAGATATACAGCTTAATGATGAGTGTTCCAACTTTTATTAACCATAAAGTAAGCATTTTCGTAAAGAAAAAAAAAGTGAGTCTTTTTTTGAAATAAATGTGGTCAGAAGCTGCACATTTGAATATGAGAGCAGCATCAGATTCACGAGTTTGCTCAAGGACTTCTCGTTTGGTGCCAAATCCACTTTACTGATGGTAATTAAGTGCTCTTAACAACAACAAAAACAGAAGAGATAAAGGGAAATATTCGTTGTTTTAAGGTTCATAAGAGAAGACAGATCTCTGTAGCCTCACTGCTGGCGTCTCTTAAATGACCTGGAAATGAGGTTGCTGTTTTTATCAAACAACTTCGAAGTTAGCTAGATCTTTAAAGGTAAACTGTAGGTGTAAAACTGTTGAATTAGAGAATGTAGAAATCAGAAGTAATGTCATTCCAATTTTATCTTCTAAAAGAGATTAATATAGTGGTTAATAGAAGGAGATTGTTTTAATACTTCTAATACTTTTAAAATAAAACGATTTCAATCCTTTTCAGTATTATAATGGCTGACGATATATTTGTAAACATATTGTTGTTGTTCTAGTCATGATTGTAATCACTAAATATGACAGGTTTATTAACTAGTAAATGGAATATAAAGCATCACCAGTTGCCATTTCGATATTGTTCCAACCAGATACGCTATAATTTCGGTATGGTCTCAACAAAGAATAAAACTACACAGTTCATAATTAAAACCGAACACTTCTCCACGCGTCTTGCTTACTAGCTCACTGACCGTGTAATTTTGAAACATAAGAACTGTATGTTTCAAAATAGGCGAGAAGAGCCAGAAGGACCATATGATTGATTCGTACTGGTCATACAGTAAGATTAACCGAGTTTACAGCTAGAGATTTATAACTTCATTATTGTCTTGCTAATGAAACAAAACAAGTGACAGCACCAAGAAATGGGATTGATGCCCTTCCAGGTTCTACATTATTGGGTGGTCATCCAGGTTAGATCCCGAATAATTGGCTGACCAGCGGAAGAATCTAGTCACTTTTATGATATTCAGTATGAGAGAATATCTGTCTATACTTTAACACCATGAATAACAACTAGCGACTCGCCAATTTTAGAACAAAATTGTAACTGCGAGTGGATATCTTGATATAAAACTATTTCCCTGTTCCTTGTTGCCACCAAATATTTGATTATTCAAAGTTGTAGATATCAGTTATAATAAAACTGTTAAGGTTTAACGATGTGTTATTTTCTTTTCACTTAAACACTGGGTACTTGGAAATCAGTTTATAGTTTATTATAAAGTGGTTATAATTGCGTGATAAATTTTTAAGACCATTTACAAACTCGAAATACTTTACTTTCATTATGGAACTGTTCCAATAACGGACTTAGTTTAACCAACATCAGGTCCTATTAACTTTGTGTGGTTGAAGAGGAGAAAAGTTCAAGGACTCGGTAAGTAAGTAAGGCTATTGTTTTGTTATGCTACACTGAGTTAGTAAACATTGGTTGAACGACGTTCTTGATTTAGCTAAAGGGACACTGGAGATTTGAGTTAACTAGTAAATTCTACGCTCAAAATGCAAAGGAGTAGCTTTTATGCACAAAGATTGTTGTACATTGTTCATCACCATCAGTAGTGCAAGCAGCATTCAAATCATTGCATCGAGAAAAACACTTTACTAACAGGTAAACGACTACATTGAACGTGGGTACTTAATACTTAAGCTCACATATTTTAAGGTAAAGAACACATCTTACTGTACCCACCAAACACGTGTATCGGGGCGATAAAATTATAGTAGACTCCCAACACTGCAGAATAGAGAAAGTCAAAAATGAGAGTATCAAGATCACTTTTATAAGGCTTAAGAAATAAATGTATACATCTCTTTTTGGACTAAAGTTTACAATGATGTACTCAAAATTAAGTTTCAAAGTATCAAAAAAATGTCTTTTAGTGCTCTATGACTAATAGAGTATTTACGTTTTGATTTTAAAACTTATTAAACAATCAAGTAAAGAATATTTCTAATAATTAATTATTTTAATTATTTACCCCATAGAATATTTAACTATGTAAGTTCTCTATCTTCTGTCAATATGTATTCTAACTAGACAAAAAAATAGCCAAATACAACAAGAGAGTGTAAAACAGTGTATATCTTGTGTTTATAATTGCCACTTTTATATTTATTAAATAAAAACACAGTAATTCTAAAATGTTTAATTTTACTCAACAACCAGTTTTCTGTCCAATAACAATAATATATAAATAACAAATATCGTTCAAATATTTTATGAAATATTGATTTCATTGTATATTTCCATCAAACTTTCTGATCTTATAACACTCAAACTGTCTCTGTTTTGTAAGTAAAGCAAAAAAGATGCATCTAAGCATTACGACGTCAATATACTAAATCACTCTTCCAAATAATTAGGTGTACGTCATCGTGGTGATGATGAGTTCACAATAAGTTGTTTGCTATGCGTCATAAAACTCAAGTTATATGTACTTAAATTATATAAAACATTAATACACAATTATAATAATGTTCTACACGATCTGAATGCATACTTTTGCCCATATGCAAACATTTCCTACAAAAGCATATGACTTGAATTTATTTAATACATGATGCATGCACCTTATTGTCAGATTGTAAGTATTCTTACACACACACAGAAGTATGAGATTCCTATGTTCACTAATGTCATTCCTGTTGTAATCGAAAATTTTCAGTAATTTGCAAAATTCAGATATTTGTTTGATATGAAAAGGAAAAACATATCTTTATCGATATATTATTTCGGTTTTTGTATTTACTACGTTCAGTAGTATAAGTCTTCAAGTCTGCATTTTAAACTATTGATCACCCACACAGCTAACAGCCCACTACATGTTGAGACCGTGAATATCACAAACATAACATAACAAAAAATTTAAGAACAACAAAAGAGAGACCAGTTGGTCCATACAGGCCATTCTACCCACTAAACCACACTTTAAAATAAAACACTGAAAGTTGTCCGTTATCATTCAAATATTTACCAAGCCTTCTCTTAAACTCCCATAAATGTATTGTAGCCACCATATGTGAAGACAACCCATTCTAAAGATTAACCATCTTGTTATAAGAATAAAACTGACTTATTTACTGCAGCCACCATATACGAAGATAACCCATTCCAAAGTTCAACTACCTTGTTATAAATATAAAATTAGCCTTAGTTGAAAATGGCTCCTACCCTGCTACAATTTATATCTGTTCTGTGTCCCCTAGTCTTACCATTCTCACATTAAGCACGAAATAAACAACACCTCAAATTTTTTTTCAAGAGAAAGCAATTTTAGAGATCTTAACCTGTCCTCGTAAGACAAAATTTCCATCCCAAGTATCATCTTGGATGACCTCCTCTGAAACCTTTACAACAATTCAATGTCATTCCTAAGGTAAGGAGCCCAAGACTGAATACAATATTCCAAGTATGGCCTAATCAGTGAC